ATCGGTTGAGAATGAAGAAAGTTCTGAAACTTTGAAAATCGCAGGAAGACACCGCGCATTTTTTATTTACACGATGAAAATGAAAATGAGCCAGTATCATTTCTCATTTCGGCAAGGAGTTGAACGGTCGTGCCTTGCTCACGCCAACTTCATTTTTCAACACGTAGTTTACGTGTGGAGCGGTCGTGCACGTGCATGCTTAAAAGCTGAAATCACTCTAACTCCTGGAAAAATGATCAAATCAAGAAATTTTTTTTTTGTTCGAGTGTTATTCTTGAACTCTCTCACCAAAGTAGGCACACGAAGTTTTGATATGCGAGGAACAAGACGTCGAAAAATATTGGAATTCAGCATTATTCCTGTTTCATTTCTTTTTTGGTAACTAGGCCACAGGAGCAAATGAGATTATCAACGAAGTCAAAAGATCTGGAGAACCAAATGATACGAATTAATGGTAGAACATTGTTCCCAGCAGACGAAGGAGGCTTTACAATCCTAGAAAGAAACTTGAAGACAGAATATGGCTGGAGGTAAGAGGTAAGAGAGTAGACTATCAAGACAGAGACAAGATATCCTTAACTTCTATAGACGATTGGTATAAACTATATTACAGAGAGTATCGAAGAGATCAGAAAGTTGATCAAAGGTTCGAAGTAACAAAGTACATTCCCCATCAAACTACTGAAACAACGCAGACAATCTTCCTCCACAGTCTTAAAATACAATAAAATTCCGAACAAAATTGGAATCTTGATCAAGTTGAATGATTCGAAGTTTCTAATTAAGCTATAAGAACAGGAATGATATTCGAAGAATTTCGTAAATAAGCCGATCAGGGAAGAGAAGAGAGCAGGTGGAGCATTAGACATGAATCTGATGGATAATCTGAATCGAACCCAGCAAGAGAGCTTAGTTACCTGCAAAAATAAAAAACAGAAAGATTTTATAGTTCAATAACATGCTCTGTTCCTGTTACTTACTGAACTTATCTAGTTCCGATAGAAGAACTACTCAGAGGAGGTTCGTACCGATAAGTCACCATTACAGTTGGATGTATGAAATCTACCAAATGCGATGAAAGCATGAGAGAGAAGGAAGTACGAGAAGGTAGAGAAGTTATTTGAAGAAAAAAGAAATTGAGGAAAGCTTGGGAGTTGTAGATAGAATCTTTTATTTCGTCAATACCCGTATAAAGCGTTCTCAATAATACAAATAGAAATATAGAATCATCGATGTTGTAACCAGTATTGAATAAGGAAATGATGACTTATAAGGTATAGTAGTAGTATATATATATATATATGTATATATGGTTAGTATGTTCTGTTTCTATTAAAAGCTCATATTGGATTGACAACTCTTGTCAGAAGTATGAGATGCGAGAGTGGATATGTTAGCTTGTAGACCGGTTACTACGAAGAACAGACCCATTAGGAAATACAATAGGTTTAATGCTAGACGTATGTACATTTTCCATGTTGCTCCTTCTTCTATCCACACAGGAAGGAAACAGGCAGTCTCCATGATAGGTGGAAGAACTAGTGCTAACATCATTCCAGCTGTTACTCCAACTAACGGAATGATCTCATCCAAATTAGGAACAGCAAATGATATTCCTACTGTAATATATAAAATAATAGAATCTGTAACTGTATAAATTCTTACATGCAACAAAAACGATACTATATCTGAAAAGATATTCAGATGCAATTCTTGCTGTTCTGCTGTAATTCTTCTCTCTCAGCCTCTTCTTTATGGGCGGCCAGATCATTTCCACCAATGGGAAGGATTGAATCAGGAAAGCAAAGAAGACAACAATCAAAAGCATTATTTTAACAGAGAAGTCTAATCTGAAAATAAAGGTTGTTCTGATAATCAGCATGATGTATAGTCTGAAATCTCTCCTCATGTGTATCTCAGATATGAATGAGTGAGAGCGAAGCTTGAGAAAGGATTTGTGAAACATACGGTTTGTCTGTGAGATTTAGTGTAATACTGGCTTTCACTTCACACCCGTAGGTGATATATCCATAGAATCTGTTATATATTATCAATGAGTTAAGCCAGATGATTACAATTCTTACCCACAAGCTGCATAGATCAAGGAAACCAAGCTGACACCTGTGGACAGTACACCAGTGTACCCCTTCATATCCTGAGGATATTTCATTTTGTTCTCCAATGGTAATACCTATACGAGATAAGAAATAGAAAGCGATTCTATATATGATCATACCAAAGCTTGTCCTTCTAGAGCATATAAGATCGATCCAGCAGCTAAGGTAACCCCATTCATATCCGTTATAGCTGGTAAGTCTCTCGTGTTAATGTGTGGAGCACGTATCAATTCCTTATATAGAACATATCAATAACATAATAATAACCTGATTACCTCTAATATAATAGTTAATGAGCATGCCATTAAGATATTTCCCATCAGACACACATAGGAAATGACTTTCAAAGTTCTGATGGTGCATAGAATGAGAAAGGCTGGTAACACAATCAGGAAATATAAATTCCTTGATATATGCAGATGTGGCCATATATGCAACTGAATCTGAAAATAGAACACGATAAGCTTTGTTTTAAGCTTTGAAAATCATTATGTCAACAGAGAACAACCGTTCCGACTGACAGCTCGTTGTTTAAAGTGATGAGAGATCTCATGTTGTAAACACAAAGCCACGTGTTCATGACGTCATTCACGTGTATTATACTTTTATGCTAATTTGGCATACAGTAGTAGTATGCACATGAGATGGAAAGAAGAGAAGACTTCAAAAGGAAACTTACATCTGTTAGATGGTCAACAACGAAGATATAGAAAACGCTGCAAATTCCAATTTGAAGTAGTATGAGGCAGCTGTTAACAATGATTCTATAGCATTGCAATTACATAATCATAATATAGATAGGTTGATACTTCATCGTGAAAGCGAACTTCCTCAGAGGAGCAAAACTCGATCGGAATGCTTCTTCCGCCATCTGTCCGTAGTCCAGAGTTCGTTTGTTGTTTCTATAACAAGATCAGCTCATTTAAAAAATTTCTTTGAGAGCTAAAAATATTTTTTTTTTCTGTTCCTTTCACAGGATTACGAAAAAGACAGTGATGATGGATATTGAGCAAGCGATTGAAGGAGAGCTGACCTTTTACATAAGTACTGTGAGCATTCGACTAGTTTAATCATGCAAATGGAGGATGCGATTCCCAATAAGAAAACAACAGCCATTCCTGCCTTCAATCATTATTCCATATATAGTATTCAATAAATCATTTTGTATACCCATAGACCAGCTTGTTTGAACGATAATGGAAGGGCAAAACAGCCTGGCCCAACCATTCCCTTGAGTAAATTGATAAGAGCATAAGTAGTTCTGAAACAAAACGGCTGATGAAATTCTTTTCTGATTAGTGCAATGCGGAACAAGGAGAAAACAATAAATTGAGGATTGTAAGACATTCTCTCTCTCTCTCTCTCTCTCTCTCTCTCTCTCTCTCTCTCTCTCTCTCTCTCTCTCTCTCTCTGTCTGCTAGGTATCTCTCTTTGTTCAAGAAACTATGAGAGATGAACAGCTGAGTTAGAGAGTTAACACTACAAACGAGTTCATGACAGATACAAGAAGTGAATTATTGAATGAATTTGAGACAAGAGGTGTTGCCACCTACACGTTAACTAGACAACTCGTACGCTGTAGCCTGGTTTTCGTCTATGTTCTATGGTGTTGTACTTCTTTCACTAAACTACATCTATGTCTTAATGGACTGCATGATCGGATGGCCTGGTGGATGATGTAATGAGAGACTTACGAGATTTTCTCAACTTTCTCCGGCCCGTTATTATCCAGCTGTTTAGATTTGGTATCAGCTAAGCTGTTGGCATCATGAACTCCTAAATAGGAGAAAGACGACGATGCCTTGCGAGGACCCATAACGTCTGTAAAATGAAATAATTAGAGAGAGAGATCATTTGCTTTCCAGATATATCTGTTATAGTTCTATGATATATGTATGTGTATATGTGTGTGTGTGTGTGTGTGTATGGAGAGAGGATGGAAACATAAAAGTGAAAGAAGAGATGAAGCTTCCTCCTCTTCTTTTAAAAATCATCTTCTACACTTGAAAGTGTTCAGGATAAGTAATGTTGACTCTTTGAAGTAATCGATGAACTTGAAAGAATTGAGCAAACTTTCTTTTGTCAGATTATAGAATATGATGAAGAACAGTAGGAAAAGACTATTTTTTTGAATAATATCCAGTATAGAGAGAGAGAGAGAGAGAGAGAGGGAAAAGAGAGGAGAGGGGGGGGGGGGATATGAAGACAACAAGCTCGGAGATACAAATCGAAAAACGGCCAGAAAGTTGAGAAAAACCAAAAACAAAAATGTATCTTTTCGACTGCTTCATCTCCAAGTTCTCTTTTACTTCCCTTCATCTATTCACTCATCCAACAAGAAGGTTATAAAAGGATATTCGAGAATATTTCGATTCCAATTAGACCTAACAGTTGAAGGAGCAAGGGTGAAGAACTGTCCTATATGTGAGCAGCAGACGTGTCTCTTCTTTAAAAAGCGAAAAAAACTATTCTTTAATCTTCATTCTGAGATTTTAAATGAAAGGGAGAGTATAGATAGGATTATATATATAAGAATGATAGAGGAAGAAAGAAAGAGAGAAAGAATGAGACAGAGTGGCAGGATGAAGGGAAGGAAGAGAATGGTAGAAGAGATGAAGAGAGAAAGAGTAGAGAGAACAACAGGAAGGGAAAGACAAGTGTGTGTGTGGTTCGGAGTTACTGCTAATACAAATTCATTTAAGAATTGGTTAGATATGAGATATGTATGTGTGTTTGGAGCCAGAAAACATAGGAAGAATGAGAAATATCATAAGAGAATGAAGGAGATGGAAGGAAGGAGAGATGGAGGGAGATGAAAGAGGAGGTGGAGGGAGGTGGGAGAAAATAAAAAAAAAACAAGAAAAATGTGGATTGAAGTGTAAAAATAGAGATGAAAGCTAACAATCAGAAGAATGAAGTAAATGAAATTCGAAAGGCATTTGTAGTAAAAACAAATATCTTATCTTTCCTTCCTCTTCATATACTCATTTGAAAAGTTCTTAAAAAGGAAATGACATTGGATGAGAAGGGGCAGAATGCGTATTGGAGGTGTGAGAGAGAGAGTGAGAGAAATCTTTTGAAAAGAGCTTCCTCCATGGAGCTTATCATACTTCTTGTGCAGGTGACAAAGAAATAGGATGCACTCAATGCTTGTATATACAACCGATCACAAGGAGCTGCAAAATTGAAATAAAGCCAAGTAGTAGATTCTCTCACGTAAGTTCACGTGAGCCCATTAGCCTATCGTTCTTCATCTATCCATTCAAAATGGTCGAAATAATGATAAGGAAGCGGAAGAAGAGTTTAATTGAGAAAAGATAAGAAAACAAAAAAGATTTTAAACTTTCTGATATTCTGAATGAACAACTTGACTTGTTGTTCACTCAATTGTTTCATCTCTCTGGCCTCATTAACCTCCAACGATTCGTAGCCTACTTTCCAGAGGATTTTTTATGAAAAATATTTTCTTTTTCATGTGTCAAAGATCAGTGCTGTGTTGGCTTTTGTGGTTAAGGGGACCCGATGCCCATGCCCATATTCTCTCTGAACTTTACGCGTTTGGTCAAACATGCAAAGATTACCGACATGATCAGTGATATGAAAGAGGAACTGATGTCTCAAACAAACTATCAGAGTTGGAACATACGGGAATTATAAGGGATTCTCTCTCTCTCTCTCTCTTATACTCTCACACACATATACACACTCTCGTATTCTCTTTATAGGTCTTCTGTCTAGTCTAGACATCAAATGTAAAACTTTAGAAAATTGAAGAGAAACCTGTCGTCCAGACGTTAGCCTCTGCATGTGAAGAGTTAATGGAATCCGATGGTGTAACCTTGTGTGACGACATGTGAATCTTTAAAATAATATTATTAATTAGAGAATTATAATGCATTTTATAAAGATTACGAGAGTCAAACATCTAGAAGGAGAATTGAAAGTGGAAATCACTTAGGCCATTTGATAGATGATGGCAAATGAAATGTGATTCAACGTTTCCATTTCATTTTTCCAGTTGAAAAGAGACACAGAGAGATCACAAAAAACATATTTGTTTACCGTCGATAAGAGAAATATATTAAAATTATACAAAGAAGTGATAGTTGGAAAGGGCTTGAAGACATCGAACGGTTCAAAGAACCTGACGATAGTAGAGGAGACAAGGAGAGTGATGCACGGAATGATAGAAAGAGGTAGCTACTACAATGTAGGTAAGATGGCTAAGCAGCTTCTTTGAAGAAACAGATAATCCCAGTTAGTGATAACACTTATGAAAGAATGCTTACACAAAGCGAAAAGTCACTGAACAACAGTTTCTTCAGAAGTCTAAAGAGAGAGAGAGAGAGAATGTGAGAGAGAGAGAGGGAGAACGAGAGAGAAAAGGACAGCTAAGGAATGAGAAGATCGTTCCCTATCTTCCATGAAGAACTGTGCTATCAGATACTTTAGTTGGTCGATAACTATGGTACGAAATTCAAAAAAAAAGCAAAAAAGAAGGATTTTTGATCGCAAACTCTATCAAACAAAAAAAAAATTTTTTTAATAAACCTTAGTCTGGTACTGCTACCACCCCAACCATCTCCCTCCATCCTTTCACCTCTCTCTTCATCAAACTATAATCCGGTTTTTTGATCATTTCAATCAAAACTTTATTTTTGTATACAAAAACAAAGAGAATCGTTTTCATCCTTATTTGGGCGTTCAATTCATCCTTCTTGGACGCTCCTTCGACGTCATTCATATGAGAGTCAGATGAAGACATGAAAGGCACATGATCATTGAAAGTTATCTGAAATGCTTTGAAATTTCATTAGGTGAATGATAAAAGATGATAAACTATCTAGGCTATAATGGGGGAATCCTGTTTAAAAGGTCTTTCTCTCTTTCCTTATAAGGAGCCTGTCACTGTCTTTATCTCTCATCATGCTCTACTGTTCTTTCAGAGACTACTCTTTGTCTCGCTTTCTCTCCATTCCTCTTTCTCTCTCTCTTTCCTCACTGTTTCCGTATCATCTGACTCTTAGAGAATGTTTATCGTACTCTGTACAGTCCTTTCCAAGCTCTTGCCCATCTTCCCTAAAATCATTCTGATCGAGTTCTTCTCTCTGAACGAACTGTCCTTTGACGTTCACTTCCAGCTCTGCATATATTGTGATTCTCAAGTCCAGTTCTCACTCTCCCTCCCTCTCTCATTTTGAAAAGAATGCATTCTCTCTCTCTCTCTTTCAGATCATAAAGCAGTGTATCCCTCTTCCAGAGCTTAATCGTTTCCTATTTCAGCTACATTTTCCAATATTATCAAGTAAAGTACAATCGAACTCTATGTGGTGATTATCACACCCATTCAATCGTGCTGTCACCTTTCTCCCTTTTCATGTCAATTTTCCTGAAAAAAACGGAACTGAAAGGCTTATTGATGTAGGATGAACAACAGTAACAACGGAATAACCTTTTTATTGCAAATTAAATAAGATTTTTCTATGAAAGTCTTTCATACTCGAAGACATTTGTTATCATTCAATCGTCTTTCTTCCAATTGCTTGACACGTTCAATTCGTTTTTGTCCTTCCGCAGCACACGTTTCATTTTCAATTTTATAACCAAATACCGTGGCATATTTAAGAATTTCTAAGATAAAAACGAATAGTAACCGTTTAGAGGGACTCATCTACAAACCCAATTCACACACTGCCTTCATTTGATCTACATAGTTTCCAATAGATGATACGGAGAAGTAGAAATTCTGACTGAATCTGAAGTTTCCTTTGAGCATAGCTAACAGAGTGGGCGAAGCGGAAGAGAACGCAAACTGAAATCATATATACAGTAACAGACAGCTCAATCGACAATGAAGCGATTAAAGACTTTTCACGTTTCGTTTCCTTGGTCATTCTCCTGCTTACTCTCTGTCTTTCTCTTTCCCTCTATTACTCATACATGCATTGTACAAATATGGAAAATGAGTTGAACCTGTGCATGGCTACTCAGTTTTTGACCAAAAGATTGTTCGAGTACGTTGTTCACATAGAACTCCTCTGGAAACCAATCTTCGTCTGATAAGGCATTATGGTTAAAAATGAAAGTTTTCAAATTGCACAAGCTTTCCAATGACATGTTACCGAATCCAGTCAGGTTGCTATCAGAGAGACGTAAATGCTCAAATGATCAGATTATGAGTGGAAGTGCGTATGCGTGCATTACTTCGAGGTTTGGGAATTCTTTGAGGTAGCCACTTCGTAGTTTATCAGTCAATGCGGAACATTGACTTATCTCCAAACCAATTATCTTTTCGGGGTACGGGAAATCCGGCATCACATCGATGCAAACCTATAGTCCAGTTTTATGAATAGGGAGTTAAGATGGTCATAACCTCAGTTTGTGATTTAAAAGGAGATGACGATACTTCAGCTGTTTCACAGGTTACAAGAATATTGGATTCTGTTACACTGCCCACAGGTCCAATTCTGAAGGTAAAACATGATGAGCACAACCGCTCACATGATAAATTAAGATGAGAATGAAAACCAACCCATAAATATCAAAGGAAATCAGATTGTGTAAGCTCATCAACATGCCTGCCGGAAATGATGTTAACCTATTCTTCCTTATTGTCAAGAATTTCAAGTTTTGTAAATGGTCAAAAGCTCCTAAGAAACTTAATTATGCTGACTATGCATATTATGAGAACCTTCTTCTATCTTATTTATCAGGTTGCAAGTGAAAGTCAGAGAAATCAAATTCAGACTCTTTGCCAGAAAACCTTTCTTGATTGTAGTTATTTCCGATCTGGAAATAAATTTTCAGGATGAGCTTTTCCTCTTCAAATTCGTTTTCACTTCTCTAATTCGAAGTGTTCCAATTCAGATAGGTTGTTTAGTGCTGTAAGGTTGGAGTTGTCATCGAAAATGTTAATGAATCGAAGATACTGAAAGGGTTATGACTTCTGTTTCAAACAACGTCATCATCTTACATTCAGCTTTGGGCATCTGGTTAACCATTCAGGAGCATCTTTCAAAAATGTATTCTCTAATGAAACTCCTCGTATGTTTGTAAGATCATCATGAGGCTTCAAATCATTCTCTACATCATGATGACAACTACCGAAGAGGGTACCTGATCCCAATTGGTTATGTTAATTCCTTGAATTATAACTTCTTCAATTTTGGCAAACTGTTTGATGACTGGAAGGATTTCAGGTATTCTCAAGTCCTCTGTTCTAGTAGTTATATCCTTGAAGTAGTTTTGAACTCTTATTGATATCTAGAAAAGGATGAATTCAACACGTTTCCAATGTCTTATTCAACCAACCACAGTTGTTGTTGGACAGAACAACAGCATGTTTTTGAGAAACTGTATGATTTGCGTTTTGCTGACGTTTGATCTGAGAGATGACTGAAAAAACTTATATGAAACAGAGAGGTTGAAGTCTTCATCACCATGGAAACTGCTTTGACATTGAAGGTACTCAGGTAAGACAACGTAGTGTTAGGAAGGCCCCCGTTAGGATCAGTTTTCTTCAATGATTTCATTAAAAATACGTCCTTAAATAAAAATTAAAAAGTTCAGAAGAATATGTTAATGAAGACATCGTTCTTATCGCTCTCTAACATAGGAAAAGCCAAGTTGGAACAGTTATATGTTTTCACACCCCATTCAATCAGTGGGGTGTAGACGGGAGGTGAGCGACGAACTCCACATGGAACAGAATCTGAATGAAAAGACTCAATGATTGATAATGAGAGAAGAAAGTACCAAACAACTGAACGCTGTGAACACATCGTCTTGTACAATATTCTCCGAAGAACTTTCCAAGCTTCTGAATCCCTTCAATCACGTATTGTAACCAGCCAAATACCTAGAAAACAGACCAAGCCGTTCGTTCTTTAGACTTAAACGTATAGACGGTAGACTACACGTAGTCTCATCTTGCTCAGAGTTTGGACTAGGCAAAGGAAACTCTCGATTCTCAAACTGTATTCTTCAAATGAATATTGTTAGAAAAGAAGAAGAAGACATCACGTACGTACTCCCTATAGCGTATAGGTAAGACTTGTCAGAATAGCATTTGCTCGACTCAATATCATCGGCTGTTGTAGTATTTCTTAAGTTAGCAGATACTTTGAAAGACAGTTAAATGAGAAACTCACAGAAAAAAGCAGAAAGCAAGAAAGCTCAGTTGGAACTTCATTCGGACTTAGGGATGGAGCCGAGAATGAAATGATTTTCGACAAAATTTCAATCGTCATACTGCAATTTCCGGAGTTTTGATGAGTTTTTGGAAAATTGAACGGATATGACATGAACAAGGTTTCAACCCACCTATATCTATTTCAATTCATTCCATTTACTTTCTACGGTAAACGTTTGAAATCTCCGTTCTGAAACTCATTTCATTTCAAATTTTGTTTTACAGAAGAGAGAATGATGCACATCATCTTCTGCGTTCTTCTTCTCCCAGCTACTTGGGGCAAAACTTACAACTTCGATGGTTTTGTCATTACAACTCCTTTGAAATTCAACTACGTTGCTCCATTCTCGTGTAACTATCAGAGCTGTGATGACGAAGGTTCTTCTGATACTCTTATCAATCTCTTCAGTCACAAACTTTTCCAGGGTCTTATTACGTACCTGCCGCTTTGGAGTTGGCGATTCAGAAGCTCAACAACGACAGCTCCGTTGAATACTTCCAAGATCTGAGAATACGTTACGTTGACAGTTCAAATCGGCGAAGTGCTGAAGTTGCGGATAAGCGTTAGTTCAGATTTCTTCAATCTATTTCCTCCTCTTCTCTTTTGAAGTGTTGTATGAAGAGGACATAACAGGAGTTATGGGCTTGTCACAAGATTGTTTCTTGGAGGCGACCATTCTCTCTATTTCTGATAAACTTTCAACAATCGATGCCTGTAACGTTGATCCCGTAAACTTTAAAGGAATAGACAGGCGATTTGTCTCCTTCACACCCACACCTATTTCAATCGCCAAGGTTGAGTCGAGTAGACAAGACTTCATTAACAACGTTTTTGAAGGGAATTACTCGTTTCATTGAAGAGCAAGGGTGGTCTAACGTTGGTGTAGTTGCGAGATCAACCATAACTGATCAGTTCTATTCGAACGTACGAGCAAGTATGATTGGTTGGTGCAAGTTAAGTTCTCTTCTTACTGTAACATATTCGTTCAGAGAACATGAGTAACAGAGGAATAAACGTTGTATTGGATTCGCGAGTCTCTTCAGCAGACAGGGATACACTGAGAGCTCAAGTCAAAACTGATATGGAGAAAGCAAGAAGTGAAACCCATTCTCATACTTTTGTTTTTCACAGAGCACTTTTTAGTTTTCGTCATCTACGATCCGTCAGCGAAAGCATCTCTGTTCCGTCTCTACTACCAAGTAAGTGATCAAGTATGTTTCTTTCATTCTACTATCCAAATCTGAAGCTGATGATTGAAACCAAATTAATGGAAGAAGGAGATTATTTTGTGATCGCATTCTTGCCTTACGGAAACAACCAAGGATGGCTCAACTCCCCCACAAGCACTATCTATGACACTAAATTTGGAACAGATGATGGTGCTAATCTCTCTCTCGCTCATTATAATAGTGTAGTTCACAGATTGGTTTTTGAATGAATCCGAATCGTATCTAAAGAATATTTACAAGAACTTGGTGATCTTATCAGATGCCCCAGTTCCTACTTATGCGAGTGAGGATTGGCAGAAATTTCAACAACAGGTAACATATGCTGAGAAGGCGGCTTGTATCGTTCGTGATTGAAGGTCAAGAAAATGACGAAAGAAGATGACATGTGTGAGCCTCTTTGTCCAGCAAACAACACTGACAACTCTGTAAGAAGAAATGAAATCAACCAGTTAAGCTTGAAATTGATTTTTAGATAATTCCGAAAGAAGCATGGCAGCGAGTCCAGAGAGCGTACGACTCATTGATGTTGTACGCTGTCGCAGGCGAAAACGCCTTATCCCTTGTAATGAACTCTCCTTAATTGAAGTCAAACTCTCTTTAAGGCTGCAAATATCAATGATGATTCTACATACTTTGCATATATGTTAAATCGACAATATCAAAGTACATGAGAAGCAAAATAGAACAATCTAATTCCTCTCTTTCAGGTATATCCGGATATGAAGAGTTGATAGATGGTGATGGAGATCTCATCGGAGCGCTACAGGTTTATTCTGTTCACTGCTTGTCCTAGTTACTGGGAAGCTATTCAGCTTTACTATTTCTTCGAGAAAAACAGTGATTACAACCTCTGGTCGACAGGAAGAATCCGACAAACATCCCTTTTACTCTCAGACTGGGTTAGTTCCGCAGTAGAGGAGATTTAGAAAGAAAGAAATGTTTTTGAAGTGGATAGAATACTATGATGATCCACTAGAAATAGATTGGATAACAACGAAGCCATTGGATGTACCAGAATGTGGTTTTAATGGGGAGAAGTGTATGTCCGAGGCGGACAAAATTTTAATCTTCATCCTATGTGGTGCTATCGTTGCGGGGCTCATTTTGATGGCTGCGGCAGCTTTACTCTTCAGGTGAATCACGATATATGTAAGTCAAAGAGAACAGAACGTATTGAAGGAGGTACCGTTTTGAAAGACGGTTACATTCGTTGGCCTTCTTGATTGAACGAAAAGATATTACCTTGAAGAAGCATATCAACCTATTGAGCAATAGCACAAAGCAAATGGCAAGCGTATATGGAAGTGTCTATGCTGTGAGATCACCTCTTTTGATATTTCAATTCGTTTTTCTTAAAGTCTCAAGCAGCTATGAATAACAGCCATTTCATACTACAAGATTATGAACAGCCACCCGAAAGAGATAACGATTCCATGTTATCCGTGTTAGCTTCTGGACCTCTGAAGCCTGGTCAAGATCCAGAATCTGCTCGCTGGAATAACGTACATCTCATAGCTGATCATACTTCAGAATATTCCTTTCTTCTCAGGTGACTGACTTCTCCATTGGTATATGGCAAGGAGCCCAAGTGGGATTGAAACGAATTTACAAAAACGACGTAGATTTTTCAAGGGATTTACGAATGGAGATTATCGCTGTAGATTTAGTTTCATTGTTTTCATTGTATTGTTTGAAATCTTTAAGCTTCAAGAATCTCCTCATGAGAATCTGTTAGGCTTTCTTGGAATGGTAGTTCATTCACCTGATGTTTTCGTTGTGAATGAGTTGGCAACACGAGGATCTATCAAAGATATTTTGGACAATGATGAGCTGCCATTGGATGATCTGTTCCTCAATCAGATGGCTCGTGATATCGTAGCTGTCAGTTATCTTTACACATCTTTAACTATTTTGTATTATTTTGGGAAAAAATAATTCCGTTAAGGGTTTGGAATTCCTGCATTCGTCACCGATAGGATGTCATGGGCGTCTGAAATCAACAAATTGCCTCATCGACTCTCGTTGGATGGTTCGCTTATCCTCCTTTGGTCTTCGGCAATTGCGTGGTGATGAAGCTCCACTAATTGAAAATGATGTACAGGAAGGAAGAGGTGCGATTATCTTTTTTACAAATCTTCATGCTGTTCTTTGTGTTTTTGCTTTGAAGAAGATCTTTGGACTTCTCCTGAGCTTCTGCGTTGGTCAACAGGTCTGGGTCAATGTTCAGCAGTTATTGTCCAGAAGGCTGACATATATTCCTTAGCAATACTTCTGTATGAAATTTTCGGACGAGTAGGTCCGTGGGGTGATGAACCGATGGAGCCTAGAGGTCAGATTCAGCTTTAGCCAGATAATTCAAGTTTTTCAAAATTTTGAAGACATTGTAAGACGAGTTAAGAACATGAATGTGGATAAGAAACCATTCAGACCAAACTTAGCTGTATTGAAGGTAGTTATTAAAATAGATATAATGATGAGTGAAAGCATCATTGAAGGATGTGCCACATGAGGTTCAGGTTACGGTGGCTGCAGCATGGGCTGAAGAACCGGAATTACGTCCATCTATATCGCAAATCAGAAAGAAATTGCGTGTTTTAACAGTTGGATTGTAATCATCTGAGACTAAAGATAACATCAAATTATTTTTTGTTATTTATAGGAAAAAGACCATAATGGATAACATGGTATCTATGATAGAGAAGTATACATCAAAGCTTGAAAAGGATATCACTGAACGTAATAAGGAGTTAGCTAAGGAGAAAGCAAAGTCAGAGCAATTGCTCAAGATGATGTTGCCACCGTAATAAGATTGTTACTTTCAATCATATTTATAATAATTATATTTGAGTATTGTTGCTGATAGCTTGAAGCAAGGTAATCAAGTATCTGCTGAATCGTTTGATTGTGTCACCGTCTTCTTCTCTGATTGCGTGGGATTCGTGAAGATGAGTGCAAGCAGTAAGCCGATCGAAGTAAGAATAACATATTTTCTTTTTTTTTTTGTTAATTAATCAAACTGAAAGAGAAACAATATTTGAAATCATTGAAACAACAAATTACAGATTGTTCAATTTTTGAATGACTTATACACTTGTTTTGATTCAATCATCAACAAGTATGATGTCTACAAGGTTAATTATATTAATTATACATATGAGTAATTGTGTTGTTCGAGGTTGAAACGATTGCTGATGCTTACATGGTTGTCTCTGGATTGCCTATCCCTAATGGACCCCATCATGCTGGAGAAATAGCCAGTCTTGGATTGGCTCTATTGAGCGCTATTAAAGTTTATACTGCTTGTACATTCTCAATATCTTTTTCCTTTTATAGACTTTCAAAATTCATCATCGACCAGATGAGAAAGTTAATCTGAGAATTGGAATGCATTCAGGTCCATGTGTAGCTGGTGTTGTTGGATTGAAGGTAATTAGCATATTCGTGCATATACGTGTGCACGTGGAAGTGCATGCGTGAAGAGTTGTTTCATGTTCAAACATGACGCTTGCATGGAACGGTTGTTTGTTATGACGCTCTTTGATAGTTCACCTTTTCAGATGCCTCGTTATTGCTTGTTTGGAGATACTGTCAACACAGCAAGTAGAATGGAAAGCAATGGAATTCGTAATACAAAGCTTTATTTGGAATATTTAGATTTGTTGAATACTTTCAGCTTTAAAGATCAATTGTTCGGCTTCGTCTCACGAGATATTGGTTCGATTAGGTGGTTATACGACAGAGGAGAGAGGAATGGTTGAAATGAAGGTGGAAGACGTAATTGAGATATTAATATGAATCTTGAATATCTAGGGTAAAAGCCTTCAAATGACGTACTTTGTGACTGGAGAAGACATAAACAAGCGAAGAGAACGTATATCTCGTGAAAAGGTGAGAAGAAGCTTAGACTGAGTGCTTACAAGTATATTTTCAGGTCAAATATCGTACATTAAGAAACACTGTCGGTGGTGAAGAACGAGTCATTCAACTTGAATAACCTCTCACTCTCGATCTCAATAAGCGTTCATATAAGACGTTGCGTTAAATAAAAAAAACTAATCAAGTTATAAATGGAAGTAGACGTGCAAACGATGTATAATCAAACAATTAAAGACAAACAGAAGGCTATGTGATGGGAAGGAGAGTGGAAGACACTCTGATAACCCATTTATATTCCATTTTCAACCAAAATGTTCAAAAAAAGCAAATAAAATGAAGTTGACATCATGAAATGATCTCAAGAATAGGCTCTTTGTCTGAAAATTATTTCAAAAAGAACATTTGAACAATCTTCTTTCAAGCTTATTGGGTTCTTCTATGTCTTCTCTTACTCTTTCTGTCTCTCTATATGTCATCTCATTGCATCTCTTCATCAGACTCTACATCAAGCATGCTCTCTATCACTTTGTTAACTTCTGCCCTATTTCCGCAAATAGACACAAAAATGAACAGAAGCACCTCGTAGTTTCATCGAATTAGCACAAGTTTTTCTTTTTGTCATCATATGACATTAAACATTGGATTGATACCTACTGACGGAGCAGGCCTCACTTGATATAACTCTCAACGATGGAGCAGTGCGTCCTCTAGCGCCACTGATTGACTCGAAAACCTTTGTCTGCTCATTTACAAACTCATAAAGTTCACTTTGAATTTGTTTGTGCCATTTCTACAGCCACTCACTCACTCATTCACTCACTCACTCACCTCCTAACTGATAATGACAGAATATTGTTTGATTATAATTAATTTTATATGATTTCATTCAAATATATTTCCACCCAGTAGTTTTATTCGCTTTTATCTCGTTGCCAGGGGCAACACGATTTATAAGAAAGCTGTGCATGTTAGAGATTTCGACTAAAGACATTCAATATCATCCAAAAATGAGCTTATACCTCTCTCCCTCTCTACTACTCTCTCTATATTCATCCATGCTACTGTTTCTCTCTCTCTCTCTCTCTATCTCACTTTCTCTTTTTACTTTTTGCTTCTTCTTTCTGCTCTGGCAAAGGTTTTTTTCATTTTTTCTATGTTTGCATGTCTTGATTTTGAACGAAAAAAGAGGAAAAGAGAAAGATAGAGAGAGAGAAAGCTGTACCACGTGTCTCAGCTAATTCCTGTTCCAATTCAAAATTCATTTTTTGACCATTTCACTTATCAGAACGATTAGGAAATAAGAATTGTTATCATTCCTCTCATTATCATTAGCTCATCGTCACATTTTCCAATTTTTATGAAACTAAGCAGTTTCTTGGTTCTGCTTATCCAAAATCATTCTTTCACTTCCTACCTTCTTCTTCATCTGCTTCATTTCATCTCTCTGAGCGAGTTTCAGAGAGAGAAAGAGGAAGCAAACGAGAGGGAGGGTGTGGGAGGCAAACTTGTTGCATTCAGGTTCATTGAATTTTCAATCGTTTCTTCATGAGAGTTGATTATTTCTCTTTTAACACCCCCCCCCTCCCTCTCTATCTCTCTTTACTTCCCTCTTTATCTCCCTCGAAAGAAAAAAAGTTGTTTTTATTCTCCATCTCAACCTAAACCAAGTGTTCTCATTCCAAAGCACTTCCTTTCATCTCATTCTCTCTCTCCACCTACCTCCCTCTCTCCTTCTCTCCCTCCCACATACTTAAATAATAATAATTTTATTTTTCTTTTATTGATTTCATTATAAAGATATATAATTATATATAAATATTTTGAAGACAAAGAGTAAAGGAGATGAATGTGGAGATTGAACGTCCACGTTCACTTTCTCGTATTACCTTAGGCGGAAGTCAGACAAGTGATGCTGAGTACATGGATGCTAATGAGAATGTTACATAGTAAGTTTCTATATGAAGCATATCACGTAAATGCATATCATCTTCTCATCTGGGAATAGACGGAATTCCATTTTGGTCTTCTCTCGTGATTGCTTTGCCAATCAATAGATATGGCTCCACGTGAATCCACGTGTAAACTAGAATTCAATTCACGTGAGCCTACGTGAAAGATTAAATGCTATGACTTATTGTTTTCAATTTCATTTTCATGTTGATGATTTGAGATGAACGGTCGTGAAACTATAGAAAACCTATTAAAAGTACATTTTCAGTGAAAACTCACTTGAACTCTTGGATACAATAAGAGAGACTCAAATTACGGTCAATTTGTTTTTGAATAATAAATTTGAATTAGCAGAAGAGAGGATGGCTGGATTGTAAGCTTACATGCATAGTTAGAAGGTTTCATGTATCTGTTTCAGATGCTCACAGAGTATGTACCATGCTTTAGGGTATAATACGATTGTGTTCATAAAGGCTCTGATGACTTGTGATAAAGTAAACTATATCATATAAATCTATTAGTACAATAACATATTTAAGAAAGACTTGGAAAGATCAATGGATGCTTGTAAGTCTGCCACAAATGTCATTTACGCTTTTCGACAAAAATCATCATTGTCTGAGACATTATTTTTCAAATCAAAAACATGGACTGATGGTTTGTCATATTTCGAAATGATTATCAGTTATGTTATGACTGTATAGAAGAATTACATGCTGAGCTGTGTTATGCTGAAATACTACTTATTCGTGCCGTATTGACGTTCTTTCATGATGATAACTTTGCAAGCTTCATTAAAGGTGCTCTGAACATTCGAACGTGTTATCGTCTTTATCGGTAAGTCTATAACATTTATACAATATTATAAAATATATAAATAGATCTTGTGAAAAGATGATGAATGATGAAGAACTCTGGATTGGACGAGATAAGCAAGTTCGTGATCAGTTTGAAGCTGGAGTTCGTATGGGACTTGGAACTTTCAATTTAATGATTTCCACATTGCCATCTAAGGTACTCAGATTATTGGAAGTTGTTGGATTCACGGGAGATAAGGTTCACTTGTAATTAGGAAGCAGTTGTTATCAAGTGTTTATTCCAGGAAACAGGCATGAGAGAACTGATTCATTGCTCATCGATGACAGGAACATTACATTCACCTCTATGTACTCTATTACTTCTTACATGGCATTTGGTTGTCTGTTTCGTTTTTGGAGCCGGAAAACCGGATATCGCTCTATGCCATCGCCTGTTGCCATCTATGATCAACAAGTACCCAAAGGTGTGTTCAAGTGGAGCTTAATGAATCAGAAAATGTTTTTTAAGGGTTCCTTAATACTCTTTCTGCGAGCTCGGCTGCTCTTAGTTAGTTCAGACATTAACTCTGCCATTTATTTTTTCAACCAATCTATTCAATGTCAATATGTTTACAAACAGTTTCATCACGGATGTTATTGGGAGTTACTGTAAGCGGAAGCTCTTCTTCCTCGTTGCTCACACCCCCATGTTTAGATTTGCCCATAGCTATCTAGGCGAATGGTCTATAGCAGCCAATTATGCAAAGTTATTAGTTAACGAGTCTAGATGGTCTCGATGTGTATATACTTATATGTTGGCAATCTTTTTTGCTGCTGATGAAAGCACAGATCCACAGAAGAGAGATGAGACAGTCGCATTGTTGTCAAAGTCAGTCAAAGCTTTATCCCTACTTTGCCATCATTATCCATCATTTACAGAAAAGTAGATGGTCTACGCTACCGAATAGCTGGAAAGTCTATTCCGATCGAGAAGTACTGTGCTCGAAAAGCAAATCGCTATGTTAATACAAAATCATTTTTATTTGCTCATTATGTAAGGAAAACAATTTCCTCTCTCATTTCATCTCATCCTCTATGTTTTTCAGGAATTCATTTACTTCTGGAATGGATTTGATATTCTGAATTCAAACAAACCTCTTTTAGTCAATTTCTACAATGATATTGAATCAACATGGTCAAAACAGAGCTCAACAGGTCTGCAAATCGTTTTCACTTTTTGAATTTTAAAAACTATTTTTGCATTTCAGCTGATGCAGATGACAGATGTTTATATTTTTTTTTGAGAGGGATTACGCTTCGTCATTTACAAAAATATTTTGATGCTGAGCAGTCGTTCAATGAAATTCTCAAGTGAGTTAATTGGAATATTCAAAAGTTCACGTGCTCACGTGTGTCAATGATCTGCAAGTGATGTCATTTACAAATCTGAAACGCTTGCAAGACGGCTGTGAAAGAAGCAATCCTCATTAAGTGATCATCCAACCAAGTTCATTTCAGAGCTTCTCAACAAAATTTGATCAAAGATCTTACATATCTTTTACCCAATTCCATCTATGAACTGGCTCTCATTAGAATATCTGAAGGAAACCGAGAGGTATACACTTGCATTCTCTTTACACGTAAACAACAGTCATTGTATTTGAAGGAAGCCGAAGAGTTATTAGCGAAAGCTCGACAAATCAAAGGATATTCGCTTGAAAACAAGCTTCATTTCCGAATTCACAGTGCAATGGAGAATTTGGGAGCTCGAACTCCAATTATGTGAGAAAAGAAACCTTGTTTTCGGTCATTAAAAAACACTCTCACAATAAATGAAGTTCATCAACTCCAGTCAACATCATTCCATGCCGTCTTGGTTGAAAGAAGACATTGTTCATGCGACAAACAATTTCCTTTCGTACTATTCTAGCTTGATCTCAGCTCCTCTCTTGCTCTATCCCTATCTCTCTCTCTCTCTACTTTGTCTATTTCTCTCTCTCTCTCTATCTCTCTGTATCCATTCCCTTCATATCATTCTAAAGATAGATATATAAAGATTTCTTACGATAATCAAATAAATTTCAAAGATTCAGAACAACTTCTTGGAAATTCTTGGGATGCAAATGAGGAAATCGCAGAAATTCCAATTCTTCACCTGCAAACAAATGCTTTCCGTGGTTATATTTATGACAAAATAGTAAATTGTATTCACTATAGCATACGATTCTTTCGAATTCAGAAATTAGTTTGATTCAATAGGAATTTGGTGAAAAACAAACTTGATAAAGCAGTTTTGGCGTTCGATTCACTCTGACTGTACTCAATGGCTGTTGAGGCTTCAACACTATGGGTTGAATTTGACTCCCATTCGTATGGATCAGCCAACGAGTACTTCTTCTCTCTTATTGAATTAAGCAACTTATAAGGAATGAAATCAAGATGAGGATAAACCATGAGCAATACCATTCGGTACACTTGGTAGTAATCAGGTCGTTGAGTGCATTGAACAGTTCGCAGATAACAAGCTATCTTTGTGAAAACCTTAGGACACTTCTAAACATGATATGTTTCAAACACCTTCCCAAGTTCGAGCTCACTTTGAAGACTTCGGCATCTGATAAGCTTGCTTTTTTGGCTTTAATTTCATCTTCAGTTCGTAGTTTATCCCATGGTAAACCACAATAGATTTGAGTGAGCATGTAGAGTAACGACCACAAGTCATCTATTCTTCCCTGAAAGAGAAAAAAAATGAAAATTGTTCGAAAACATCAATGGATGGAGCTAAAACAATATACAAACAGAAGAAAAGAGAAGATGAACATAACCTGCTCCAATCGTAAATGTGCGGAATAAGAGCAATACCGTGTTGTTCCTCGAAACAAAACATTCCTTCGAGGCTCTCTCACTTCCATTTTTCCATTTTTCTGCACAACAAATGAACGCGATAATCCTGATTTAAATTGAATTAAAATAATTGAAATCTGCTATTGAGATGTTTGTAGAAAATATAAAACAAGACCATAATCGATTAGGAAGAACATGCGAGCATCTCTGCCAGACGCTCCGTTCATTATGTTTCCTGGTTTGACATCGCGATGTACGAAGCCAACTTCGTGAACCTGCAGAAGTTCAAATCAGCTAATGCATATATATATATATATATATATAAGTATAAGAGCACCTGTTTAATGGCGTATAAGGTGTTCAAGGCAATTCTCAGAATAGTACTTTCTCCGAAACCATTAACGGTCTTCCGCCGTAGAGTTGCTAAATCATTTCCACATAAGGTCATGATGATGTAACTGCAAAAGACTTTATGATTAATAAAGGATGAGATGAGAGCATGTTGCGGACTTGTAATGTCGTCGTTTGCCAGAGTACAGTAACTTGATCACATTCTTTCTATTAATTAATGCTTTAAGGACAGCTACTTCCATTTTTAGAATTCCCTCAACATCATCCGAATTCGGTTCAGCCTCAACAGAAATGTATTTTACGATTATGTTTCCTTCAAGAATACGAGTTCAAATATACTTTTAATGCTACAAAACATCCAGTCTGCTGTAAGTCTTCAACCCGATAGACACTGCCACATCCACCTTCACCCAACTTTTCATGAACTCTCCATCTTTTATTTATAATCTGATTAATTATGTTAGCGCTGTCAAAGAGTTATAACGAACTTTTCCATCTTTGAAATCGACGTCTGTCGGCATTGCTCTTGTTTCGTATCAGAGAACACAAGCACAGCCGGTTCCACCCTTTTTCATTTACAAAATGCATACGTGGAAATCTCACGTGAATATGCAAATTCCAAGTGATTTCAACAGCTTGAGAAAGATGAAGGAAATAATTTTTTATTTTAAATAGAAACTTCATCATACGCATATAGTTATCCTAATTATAATTAAAAACATTCAAATGGGAAGTAGGCGGCAAGGAGATTGGTCGGAGGATAATGTTTGATAAGCGGGTTTGACATGCACAAATAAGGAAACAATTCTTGGTGTTTCCAAAGAACAAAATAAATAATTGATGAATGAATTTGAACTACCATCATTATGAGCTTAAAGCTTTCATAAGCTTTTCATGGGAATCACCTATAAATATATAATTTTATAAAATTATTTCATTCAAATAGAAACTCACAGCTATTGGTCGAGCGTACTTACGCTGAGATAAGCGTTTAGGAGCGTTAGCCAAATGGGCTAATGGAGGTAAAAGACAATTCGGAGGAGTTGTAGGCGATGATAGATTGCAACTGAAATATTCAAATTGTATGAGATGGATGTATGATCAACAGGAAATACCTTCCGGATGGTGTTTGAGGTCGTTCCATAACCATTTCAGAAGTAACAGATTTAGATTTTGGAGTTGAACAGGTTGATGAAGGATTGTATACACCCGACATACTTGTTCTCTGCAATGATAATATGATTATGAATACATTATGTGGTGCGTATAGCCAAAGAATAGAAATGAAAAAAAAAACCAACCGATGCAGGTCATGCGAAATGAAAAATGAAACGAAGGGCTATTCATGCGACATGAAGCTAATCAAAGTTTCGGTATATGCAAATTACTTAAGAAGAGGAAGTCAGAAAGTGATATATGAGATGAACAGGACTGAACTGTAGTAAGCTATGAATATACAAAGCGTATTGATTGACCTCATTGTATAGCTGAGGCGGAGCTAATTGAATGACACATTGGATCATCCTTTCTGCTCCTGGCAAACTACATGCGGTACCCGAGGTACCATATATGGGTCGATATAGCACGAAGTGAACAGATTAGATCTAACGGCTTAGATCTTTGAAGTTCAATGACCAAATATGGTAAGGCTTTTGACCTTCTTGTGCAAAAGATGATGTCAAAACAGGAAAATAAGCTAATTTTGGAAGCTTTTTTATAATTTTTAATCAAGAATGACCGAATGTCGATGTTGTTGAATGAGAATGAACTTTCTTGAACATCCCCCCCCCCATTTCCTAGTTTCTACATCGCATATTGGAATTCTGTTGAAAAGACAAGCCGACAGACAGCTCATAAACTTCTTTTTTCCTTGCCACAATTCCCCTTTCGTTTGCCGAACTACTCAAAGACCACCACCATCATCAGAGCTCTAATCAGACTCATGAAAGATATATAACGTTGGTTTTATTGAAAATTAAAATTCATATAAGTCATGAGCTGGCAAAAACATGAAAATCCTGTTATTCTCAGTGCATAATGGGATTTCAAACAATCACAGAAGAGAAATTTGTTGAAAACTGAAAAATTCACATTTTCTGTAACACAAATTGGCCCGTACGATTCAAAAACAGAGAAGGAAGATAGAGAGAGAGAGAGAGAGAGAGGGAGGGAGCATAGAGAATTAAAGGAAAGATTATAAAAGTTATAAATAAGGTAAGAATGTCATTCAACTGTTTTGAGTAACAGAGTGAGTCAGTTCGTGTCTTCCTCGTAATGGTGCCAATTCGGTAGTCGTTCGCTTCTCCTCCCGCATCGGTACAATTTTCCATAGAAGTTTTTGGAGAACGAAATGTCGGATTTCAGGAATTCTAAATATGATCAGAGGGTAGAGAAGGTCATAGGGTGTTGCATTGACGTACCTAGTGGCATAGATGATTGGATTTGTTAACGTCTTAACCATTATATTTAACAAAACAACAATTGACAGCACATGGATGAGGACAGATCCTTTTCTGCAAACGAACCCATTGCTATCAGATGTTCTTCAATAAGCTTCATACCTATGTAAGGGCATTCCTTCCGCTGTTAATATATACAGTATACTAGCTGGCATCCATCCAAATAAGAATGTTCCAAATATCAGACAAGCTGTTATGACAGTCCGACGTCCTCGGGCATTTGTCGCGGAATTTGCTTTTGATCGAACCTGCAAATTAAAAAACAAATTTTCCAGACAACCAGCAGAGAGAAGGAAAAGCTCAATGAGCTGACTCATTTCACTGTTCAAATTTTTTCGTTCAAAAATCCATTTTCAGCTTTATCGTTCGAAGTTGGTCGCTTGAAACTCAAACGATGTGTTCGGGGGTACGAAAAAGTAATATTTATGTATGAAATAAGAAATATTTACGAGTTTTCATACAAAAAAATCTGCTTTCGACTGAGCATTTCTCATCAACTGACTATTTCCCCCCAGAGAGACAAGAGAGAACTCTCATGGAAATACCGCTTGTTATAAACTTGTCGGAGAACTCTGTCTCTCGTGGATCTTCCAAGAAACAAGCTTGAGGTCGTTTAGGGAGAAGAGAGGACCAAAAGAGAAAAAGAGAGTGAAGCTTCGACTTTTGACTGAATCTCTCCTATCCTCTCTCCCTCTCCCTCCCTCTTCCTTCATTTCGTAATTGTCATCAGCATGCAAAAGCAGATGTATTTGCAATCTTGTGCAAATCAAGCTTATTCCTTTGATGTAGAGAAGGAAATTTTGCTTTTCAACGACCCATAGATTAACACCTTTGACATTTCGAGTTCTCATCTACTGTCATAAGTGAGTTCTATGTAATATATGAGAGATAGACGTTGCTCTTTCCATTCATGATCATTTCGATTATGCAAAGAGATGGAGTGACAAACTGACCTCATTGACTTTTGATAACATTTTCCAATAAAGGACACACGTGGTTATAATAAGAATGATGATGATCAAAGCAATATTTGCTCTAAAATAGAAGTTCTCATAGAAAGTGATTCCCATACACGATTCATTGCTGCAAGATGTTTGTTTATATGTGGGTTGGGTGTGTTTATGGCAATTACCGATAGCCTTGTCCTTCCCAACTACTGAAGTATGCCATCAAGCCTAGTGGAGGCATAGACCATATGAAGAATATGATGATCTTCAATATGACTTGATGTTTGCTTCACGTTAGCTTATAATTCTTACCTGAATGGCCTTAAGTGGCAAATACTTCTGATGATCAAATGGACGCCTTATTTGGAGATAATGGGCAAATGCCAATGCCACCAAATGAAATATACCCGTTAACAGACCTCCAGTTCGAAATGCCTGAAAGAATTGACAAATAATAAAACAAAAAATGAAATGACGAAAGTCTTTTCATGACAGCCCAAACAAATTTATCAAAAAGTTTGCAAATATGGAGAAAAAAGAGTTTTGAAGACTTTAAGGATTTATGGAGGAACAGAGAAAATCCCTGGTGGAAGCTTACGTTCCGATTCGCTTGGACCCTCCGGACATTTTAAACTTTTTTTTTGTTTCTTTTTCTCTATCTCTTTGTCTATTTTTCTTGGAACTTTGTCTAGTTTGTGATTTGCCCTAATATCTTGCTCAAACCCTTCTGTGTTCATAGATCTCTCCCTCTCTCTCTCTCATTCTCTTTAAGTCTGTACTGATTATTCTCTTTAACTTGTTTCAGTTGAACATTGAAAGTTCAAGACGAGAATGAAATGTTTGTGTGAACAAATAATGATATGAATGTGGTTGAAAGCATAACAAGAGATTTCCAATTTGAATGTTTCATACATCTGAAGAGATAGAGAGAGAAAGAGTATGAGCTTCTCGTTCTTTCTACTTCAGAGCATTTCTGAGAACAAATCAAGATTGTCTTGAAATTGGAGCTCTTATGGAAATACATGTGAATGAGAGGTAATATTGGGAGATGAAAAATTAGTTTTCGAACCAATTTGCTTCACTTCAATGCAGCCACATCTGATTTCTCGTGTTGAGCCCTGTTGTTCTTCATTCTTCATCTTATTATGAATGAATATTTCTATTTTTGGAAGCGGCAGCTCTTCGATCTTTGCTTGAACTGATTGAAATCGAAAAGTTCAATGGCTTCACTGAATAATATCAAATGAAACATAAACAATATGCAAGATCATGGTTTGAACATCATCATCATAATCGTTGAGCTTCTCATACACCCCCTTACACCTCCCTCTTTCCACAACCAGATTGTAGTGATAAGAGGGAATCATGAAAACAATAGGTGTGAGTAGAGAAGAAAAAGAAGAATGACAACTAACTAAGAGAGAGAGAGGGAGAGAGAGAGAGAGGGGGAGGGGGGAAGGATAGAGGTGCTTAGATGGAGAGTAAGCAGAAACGAGACAGACGGAAACATTCCTTTCCAATCCTTCATAATACTTTCCGTTTTTCAAACAAAAAAGTTTATTCATCCTTTCTTCCTTTTCTGACACAAAACAATTGACTTCACAACATAGTTTTCAATTTATTTAGTAATTTCCGGTGAACGAGAAAAAAAGAAAAGAAGAAGAAGAAGAAGCAGGGAGGGGGAAACCTTACTAAGATGAAAGGGTCTAGGCTTCTTCTTCTTCTTCTTCTGCTTATTCCATCATCCAGGAACATAAATTTCCTTTGAAAACGAATTCAAAATAACTTTTTTAATTCATAAATAATTCTATTATTCTATTAGAATGTCATCAATTTCCACTAAATTGAACATGCCATAGCTTGAGCATGGCTTGGATTCCACAGGCTATTGCCTTTCTCACTGACAGGCAGTCTCTCATAGTTGGTTTCTCTGTTAATCTTTCATCTTCATTCTCTCTCTCTCTTTTAGTTTGTCTTCATTTTCATCTTACTCTCTTCTTACACTTCTTGAAGACACTCCCTTTCTTTCTCTTTCCCTTCAAGTATGAAACTCTTACAATGGTATACCCTCAGAGGTCGTCTTCTTCTGACGTCAACTCTCTTACGAATTCTGTAGCAATTTGATTAAAAAAACGTTTCTCGAATTATCCAATGTCTCATCAATACTTTTAAACTTCCCAATTGGAGGGAGAGAAAGCGAGAAAGCAAGAGAGAGAGAGAGAGGATGATGCTTGATTCCTAAGAAGGATATTCCTTTAACCTCTTTCAAATAAAAAAGTTTTCAACACATTTGAGTCTATTCTCAACTGTCACAACAAGACTTTGACACAGAAAGCATCTTTTCAAAGAGACGAACTGAATGGCATAAAGAATTTTAAAAATTCCTTATTTCCTCTTCTCGAATGAACGTTTTATGTTCGCTCGCTCATCGTTCAGATGAAGGAACAAAAATATTTTTCAGAAGAACTTTCACAAAAATCTGTGAGTGAACTCAAGAATGAATTGTCGATCATCTTCATTCTCACTTGTTACAACTTGCTTCAGAGTTGCGAAAGCAAGAAGCTTTGTAAGCTTTCAAATGAATGGGAAGAGGAAGAAAGTACACGTGGAATGGCGTATTCACGTCGCATCTGCAATTTTATTTTCTAATTGTTTTGACTCAAAGAGCGGTTGATTCTCAATTACGTCCCGATTATCTACGTGTAAATAGGAAGTAGAATATTTTCCTTTTTGATTTACTCTCCAAGTACTTATTTTTTCCTCTTTTAACTCGACAAGTTCACTAACCCTCTCTCTCTGTATCCATCATTCCTCCCACTCTCCCTCTTTCTTTTTTGCTCTCTTTCAAAGCTCTCAATGGCTCGTTGTTGAAGATGATTTCAAACCAGAACAGACAATTGCAATCGTCATCTATCCCCCCAGAAGTAGAAAACATAGATGAGACGGAAATAAATTGAATTCACTCATAATCATTCTTCCTGGTAGAACTAACTACTTAAGCGACTTGAGTATCGTGTTGAAAGATCGCAAAGAACAGCAGTTGTGAATGATTTGAAACGGAGCTGCTAGTGAGATGGATTAGCTTCTTACTCTCATTCATTAATTCATTTTTTGTTTCTTTTTTGATCTGTCTGTGTGTTGGCAACACAACAATCAAGTCATTGCCACCAACTTGTCATTTTCATTGTTTTCATCTAATTTTAATTAGATTAAGCTAACCAAAAATTGAACCAAAAAGAGAGGGAAAGTGAGACACAGAGAGAGAGAGAGAAGGGTAGCGGTATGAGGACGGGACACAAGCATGAAGGATAGGTTCAAGGGAAGTAAACTCAATATGATGAGCTTTCTTCTTCTGTTTCCATGATGTTTTGGATGAAGAGAGAGAGGAAGAAGGAAAAAATTAAAATTTTCGTTGTTTCCTTGGCTGTGTTACTCTCTTATATCCATAAGATATGAATATTTCACATAATAAATGCCATTTTCCTTTCTTCAGGTTATGTCAGAGAAGAGATTTTTCAACAAACAGCCCCTCACAAGCTTATTATTCCCTTTTTTGACCAATGAAGTCTTCATTTGCATATTTTGTGATTAACTTTTTCGAGAAATCTCAATAGGAAAAATCAAATACACACATAAAGATGCCGTGAGACGATGGCTTTTGGTCTTTCGGACGAAAAAAAAAAGTTTTTTTTTCTCAAAAAAATAAGGAAAAACATCAATTGGGTAAATCCATAAGATGTTTTCTTTGATTTCATTAAGTATCGATGTTGTTCAGATGAGTTCGATCTGTGGCTGGCCTAAGGCCTTCTCAACTGATACCAGCATATAGCTTGTAGACATAGTTTGAATTGGATGAAACAAAATGTGAATATAAGAGGGAGAGAGAGATAGAGGAAGTAGAGTAAATTAAAAGAGAAAGAGAGAGATAAGAGTAGGATGAGAGAGAAAGAGAAAGAGACAAAGGAAATCAACCGTTCCGTAGATCAACGAGAGGAAAATGAAAACTTCGTTGGAAACTTCAACATCACGCACGCCACGTGGGTTAAGCGCTCAACGAGCAAATTAGCATAAACAGGGAAAAAAAAGAAATGAGAGGAGATGAAAGACTCGAATAGATGTATTAGCATAAACGTACCTCTAGTGTTAATGGGAAGCAATAGGTATAATGTGGAATTTGAAGAACAACTGGCTTATAACTATTCCAAAAAAGTGATAAAGCAATAACAACAGATGTCCATGTATCGGATAAAGCAAGTGAATATGTTAATTCCAATGATGTTGAACGGCTCTTTACATGCCATCTTGATAGGAATACAGCAATATTAAGCATTGCAGCTAATGCACATATAAGAACAATAGCTGGAATACATATTTCGTAGAGGAAAGTTTTCAATTCAGTCATAGTTGATGGATGTGTATATGTTCTTGATCGTTCCTTCTCACTTATTATCTGTATAGGATCTGAAAGCAATCAGTTAACAATGTGATTACCATATTATCAAGCAATAGCATATCTATCTATCTCTCTATCAATAGATAGAGAGAGATTGAGAGAGGGAGAAGAGAGTAAAGAGAGAGAGAGAGAAGGATGTATTTATGTATATAATGCTAATAATAAGAATAACAATATTTAACTTAAAATACATCCATACTTTATAAATTGAATTTGAGTTGAAGACGAAATATGAATAGAAGCTATATTTTTATAATAAAAGATGATTTGATTTTTTTCTTGGAAAACATGAGATTACAATAAATTTGTTAGGAAACACATATACACCCATACACACATACACAACCACCACCACCGCCACCACAACCACCACCATACATACACACACACACACACATGCATACACACACACTCACACATCCTACTATTGCTACAACCACCAGAACCACAAATAGAAATCAGATGAGCCAATGAGGAAACAACTTTTGTCGTTTTTAATTTGGAATTTTCTAATTTATTCTCTTTTTTTTTGACAGATAAACGTCTTTAATGACAGCTTATTCCTATTGTCTGAGTATACTGGGTGGGTGTGCTATTGGGGTGAAGGGGTGTAGGGGCAGGCTGATTCTATTTGTGACTTGGTGAATGACGGATGAAAGAGTGAAAAAGACAAAAAAAGCTGTGAAGAAGAAGAAGCTATGGATATAGATATTTCTTTTGAAACTAAACATTTCCATAGATAGATAGGGGACGGGCATAAGACGTGCTTAACATGTGTCCGGATCATTTGTCTCGTAAGGGGCGGAGAGTGGAAGGCGGGGACACGTGTATGTCTATGGGGCCGGCTGAAGTTGGTATGAAATGAAAAAAAAGGTTAAAACTTGAGATAATCGACGTCATTCAGTGAGCTGTTTCTTAATTATTTTTTTTGCGATTTTGATTAATTTGTAAAAGTTTATGGGAACGTTTTGGGAGAGACAGACACGCTAGAGGAGTCAAATGAGATTTGGAGCAATGAATGAGAACCATAGATGGATGGAGATATAGAGAGAAAGAGTGAGAAAGAGAAAGAGTGAGAGCTGTGAAACAGAACACTTGTTCATTGTGGAAATTCCCAGTTTGTAGCCTTACAGGTGAGATGAAGTCGAAAATATATGAAGCTGTCGTTAGGGTTTGCTAGTGATGCAAGTGTCACCATCATGTGATAGAGTTGTGATTCTGCAAAGGTGAGGTGACTCTCTCATCAAAATAAATATCAAAATAGAAGATTTTCGATTTTCATTTGCAAATTGTCGTCTCGAGAATAGAAATATGTGAAACGGCAGCATTCATTAAAAAGAGTTTTCCAATGAGAAACCTTTTTTTCCATTAATAGAGAGAGTTTTTGATTTTTTTTCAAATTCTTTTCTTCTCACCCTCATTCAATCGCTACCTTCTCCCACCTTCCTCCTGCTATCTCTCTCTCTCTCTCTCTCTCTCTATATATGTCTCTCTCTATTCAAAGATTTGAAAAGAGAAACTAGGCTTTCTTCCCTTCAAAGACATTTCTATGGAGAAACACAAGAAGTTACGAAAAGGAAAGTTAATTTTCATATGAGATTAGCTCTTTTAAAAGCATCCAAGGTTTCCAAGAATTTTTTGAGCCTCAAATCGGCCATTAACAGATTTCAACTCATAAAGTTAATCGAATTTAGAAGTTTTTGCTTATTCTTCTAATTGATTGGATTCAGATGAATGTGGATGATTTGGAATTATCTCGTATTCGTATTCGTATTTCTCATATCCATGTTCTGAAAGACGGGATGAGAAACAAGTCAAGGGTGCAACACATGAGATTAGTGTGAGAGCGGTAGCAGCAGGTAATCATAGCTACGTTAAGTGATGAATGGATGAAAGAAGTTGCCAATACCTAAGAAGCTAACTTAAACGTCTATGAAGTCAAGAGCAAAAGTGAAAATTCGAAGAACCTGGAAACAGGAATGTTGAGAGAGTGACACAGAGTTTAAACGTTCAAAAGGAACAACTTAGTAACAGAAGTTAGAGAGATAGAAGAGAAACAATGTGAGGAGAGAGTGTGTTGATCTGATCTCATTCATGATTGAAGCTGGAGAATCAGTGTGAGGAAACTCAATCATCGAATAATTGGAAGAAAAAAAAGTTTCTTTTCTCTGGTTTTTTCAGGCTAACATCCTGACTTCACTGAAAACTCAAAATTGAATGAAAAAATAAAAATTTTGTAAAAAAAAAAAAAAGAAAAGAGGAGAAAAGAGTCTAGAGAGAAAGAGGGAGGAGGGGGAGAGAGGGGGAGAGATGGAATGAAAACAGGAAGACTTATAATGAGCAGAGAAACAATATTAAAATATTATTTGTATAAGTTTTCTTATTTCCAAAATTATTTGAAATTGCGATGAATGGGAAGCGTAGGAATCACTTAGTTACGTAGTTTCAAATATATTTTTGTTATCATTATGAATCGTCATTTGGGGGGAGGGGAGGGGGGGAGAGAGGATGAAGATGCACAGAGACTACAAGGTAAAAGGATTAGATGAGACATTCACATCATAAAAGAGATGAAGCACGTCAGTAACAGTTAGAGAGAGAGAGAGAGTTATGCTTGAAAGAAGAATGACGAGAAGATCAAAGTAACTGAATATCTTTTTGGTGTCATTCTTAGACAACATCATGAGCAAAAATGATTTTGCGATGAAAAAAAATGAAAAGGAAGAAGAGCAAAGACATTGAGTGAGATCATAAATGATCAAGTTAAATGGCAGAAATGGAATTAATGAAGAGAAAAAGGAATATATTCTCTTACATCATCATGGCGTAAAAAGAGAGAGAGAGAGAGAGAGGGAGAGAGTGATCGTGTTTGAGTGAAGAAGAAGCATCCATGATGAAGGTGTCCTTTAAGAGGAGAGAGCAAGATTCAATAGAGTGTAAATGATGTTGTTTAATGAAATTTGGATGTGATTAGACAAAGATAGTCCTTGTCAGCGGATTCTTCAGTGTTGAATGAAACAATTTGTGAGGCAACTGCCCTAAAAGCATAACTTCCAACTTAACCAATATCATGTTTTTGAGAATTGTCGGTGAAGGAATAATATATTTTCCATTCGACTTCAGTTATCTTCAAATAACATATATGAGTCTAACCTTTTGTATTTTATTATTCTCGCAATCGATATGATGCAACCGGTCTTTGCGTCTTCACTACTTACACTTACAATGCAATCAGTGAAGTTAGCTTGTACGTGAAGACCCACGTGAATTACGTGTATATCTACTTGACAAAAATTTGTTTTTCACGTAACCCAGTGGTTGACGTGGAAATGTTTGAAACTGATCTTCATATTTCCACATGGAATATGTGTATTTGAATTTTCACGTGAAATCTCACGTGGGTATTAGCATATGAAGTTTGCATATAAGCATTTGAATACGAAACAGCTTCATATACGAAGTTAACAAAGTACAATAGCGTTGAGAGAACCTCAAAACAACTGCACTTGAACTGGTCACAAGAAGTATTTTGTGTGTGGCTTCTGTTCTCTTCTTCCCATTCATTCGGTCAATGTTCTCGAAATTGTTTTAAAATAGCGGAAAGAGCAGGTTGAACGTTTTTGGAGTCAAACAAAAAGGTAAATACATGTTGTTAATTGAATTCAAATAGAAAGATGAAAGTTTCATTAAGTGCATTTTGAAAACCTCTTTTGATATGTTTTGGTGCAGATGGTTGAAGCTAAAGAGAGAGTAGAGGGAGATAGAATGAGCATCTGGGAGAACGAAAATGAAAAGTTGTCGTTTCAGTAAGAAGCTTCATTTCCATCAATTAATCTTTGAATTATTCAAATTTCATGTAGAATTTCAATATATCTTGGCATTCTCCTTCAGTTTTTTCGAGAAGCTAATGCTATACTCTTGCAAAGTCTCTCTCTCACTTTCTCTCTCTCTCTTTGTGTGTGATATAAGGGATGTGAGTCTTTTGGCTCCAGTATTATGATTATGAGATAAACACTTGAGTGAAATGAAACGGACGAGACTGACAAAAGGAAAAAATAATTTCTCTCTTCATATCACGTACAGAGAGAGAGAGAGAGAATGTATTTTTAGAACAATTGTTGATAAATAAATATGAATAAACAAACAAGTTGGCGAATTGTCCGAATTTCACAAAAGTCTTGGACGTGATGCGAAGACGACGTCTAGTATGATTAGACGGCTTGTCATATGTGAGGCGAAGGCGGAATTACAAATTCAAGGTCTTCAAATTGAAGAAATTAGTTATTATCATAAGAAAAAAGTAAAATAAATATATTTCCTTCTCGGGCCTCTGTTTGGGGAGGAGTTATGGTCGGAAACAGCAACAGCAGCAGCTTGTGAAACGATATTGTTCGTTCACACAACCTCATTTACTGATATTAAAATTATTTTTATGAAAAGTACTTGAAGAACTGTGACAGAAACTGAAAATATGTTAATTTCTAGTTCCTCACGTCAAACGTGGAGTACACTCAGTTCATTTAAGACGATTAGTTTGAGATGAACGGTTGGTGGTGCAAGCGGATTGCGATTGGAAGAAGAGAGCCGTAAGAAGCAAGATAGAGAGCCATTCTTGTTTGTTTTTGTTGAACGAAATGAGTCAAAGACATCTGATGGCAGAGAATGAGACGGCATGTGGGCCTTCTCACTACCAACCAACAACATGTACAACATGATAGAACATGAAAAATTATGAAAACAGTATATTAAAGTATTTATTTCAAGAATGTTTTTCGAGCAGAAGGTTCTAAGTTCAGGAGTTTACTATAGGTTTAGGTATCAGAAACGAACATTCACATGGTTACCAAGGGATCAATGAGTAGACGACGGCTATATAGATAGATATGGATGGTTGAAAGAAAAAATAGTAACGAAAGCTAATCCAGTCTTCAAATTAAGTTCTTATAGATTAGAGGAACAACAAGTAATGAGAGAAGTTCATTGGATATGAGAAGAAGGAGTAAGAGAATCTTTTCTTCTGATGAACTGCTTCCTTCCTCTTCGGAAGGTGCCAGAAAATAGAAAACAACAGTAGAAACTATCCGAAGCAAAGAGAAACAACATGGCTCATCCTCCTCCAAACCATTCCTCCCTCCACCACTCCATTCAAAACTCTAATTTATTTAAATGAAATTCTTAGCTTAAGGAGAAAGTCGTCTTGTTTCAACTGAGTTCATGCCCATTCAGATCGTGTGATCGACCCGATGTCTTACTGAAGAATTGGAAAAATGAGCTTCATCGTACTTTCCACAGCACGCTCTCCCACTCTTTCCTTCTTTGTTTTCAATTTTTCATAGTAAAACTTCAAAAATGATGTTTGTCATTGGAATAACTGTAAGATTGGAAGAGTACTCTCCTATAGAGTGTAGAAAGCGGAAGTAGAATGGGAAAGAAGAGTTCATACTGAGAGAGAAATTATTAATTTACGGATAAAAATATGCTTCAGTAGAGGAGATGAGATGAAAGAGGATAGGCTTCATAGAGAAAACATCTGACTGGTGGGTTGGAACACACACACAGACAGAGAGAGAGAGAGGGAGAGAAGGAAGAACTCAACGCCTAGTACAGAGGATATGCTTAACAAAGGAGATGAAAATCATCAAAGATGTTCTGACTAAGAGAACAACGAGGAAGACAGGTAGAGAGAGAAACGTGAGCTTTATTAGATATTAATGCCGGATTTAGAAGAGAATGAAGCAAGCGGATATATTGAACTAAAGGTAAATAAGGATTGTCCTCATTCCTTCCTGCAACTTTCCACGATGCGAACGATGAAAATGAAATTCAATACCTTAAAGAGATTTGTTTTATTTTTTAGAAAAGAAAAAATAGAAAAAAGAAGTATTGAAGAACAGGTATCTTATGAAAAAAAAACTTTTTTTTGCTGCTGCTGCTGCCAAAGACAGAACATGTCGATCAGCTGTAAGTACGAAAAACGAAAAACCTTGCCGGAAAAGGAGTTTTTTTTGAACTTTTGATATTGGAAAATAGGAAATGGAGTGTATATCCATGGTAAAAACTGCAAATCTCAAATATTTATGAGAGGAAGTAAGGTAGAAAGCATAATCTGTGAAGTTCGTATGGAATGAGATAACAAGAGGATCACCTTCTCTCTTTTCATTCGTTGATGTGGGAAGAGCATGCAGAGGTATATCGTGGGATGTTTCAATCGAAGAAATCAACCTTGTGGGATATATGGTATGTCTAGAGAGAGAGAGAGAGAGTAAGCTAAAACAAAAGTTATTGAAAAGGTGGAAATCATGAATTTCCCTATCGACCAGCTCTCTTTTCAACATTTTCAGACAAATGGTCGTTTTGGATGTAAGGTGGTGGAGGTGGGGGGGAGAGAGATGTATGTATGAAGTAAGTCAAAATACGTCTATTTCCCTACTTCGATATAATATGAAAGTATAGAATGCTCATTTGAGAAAAAAAAAGAAAGAAAGGTCTCTGTCTTTGTCAAGAAGGTGGTTAATCCGTGTCAGATAAACTATATCGTATAGTTAATAAGGATTTATAAATGAAACCACCATGATGCTAATGGAGAAAGATAGTTAGATAAAGGGAGTGTCAGACGACGAGAGGAATTATGTAAGAGCTCAGAGAGCATTGATATTAATGGTGAAAGAGAGTTTTAAAGAATTGAAGAAATGCAAATATTTTGTTAACGAAGTTTTCGTTCATCAAAACCTTTTATGTTCATAAAGGTTCATCCTGATCTCTTAAAGCTCATTTTTTAAGCTTTTAAGATTTCCGCCCACTCTTTACCTGTTTGGGAAATTGAAAGATTGAATTTCATTTTAAGAGGGACAGAGGGACACAGAGAGAGAGAGAGAGAGAGAGAGAGAGAGAGAGAGATCTCAATTTAAAAATAGTGAATACCTTTACCAGTTCAAGTTTTGAAAGTAAATAATCAGAATTTCAATAACTTCAAACTTTTGATCTTCGATTCCGAATTGAAAGTTCGAAAAGCTTTGAAAACGAAGAAAATAATTAAATCGCAAGAAAAAAATACTTAACTATACTATATAAGTTATGAGAACCGGCCAAAGTTTTCAATTACTACTAATTCCATGAATGGTCATTGGGAGATTAGCGATACATCCTTCATCATGAGGGCTTTAAGAATTCGGAAATCGAGCATATTTGTTTAAAATATTTGAAAAAAAAATGTTTGAATGAGCGACTGCGATTGTTGCCGAAGATGTTTCGAGGGGCTCTTTGGACGAACAAGAAGTTCCAGCTCACGCATCTCACGTAATATCTAATACGAGCCGCGAAGCTGAAATTTTCATTTTCAATTGATGACAAGACGAGAGCGGTTGGTTGATGGCGTAAGCAAGTATACTCCTTCTATTGCAAGTTGTCTCACAGCCAGCACGTATCTCTCTTGATAGCTACGGAGAGGGGGTTCCACACGAAGTTCATTAGGGCCTCCGTTTGATTGTCAAACATGATGTTGTTTCTTCGCTACGGAAGACAAGAAGTCAACGGAAGTAAGAGTTCGGGTGGTTCAGTGAATCTATGGAACACTCAATCATCTCATTTTCAAACTTAATATTCAATTACTTATTTGTTTTGTGGGAGTATGAGTACGAGTAAAATAATGTGAATGATGACGGAGTTGTCTTCTTTGATTGAATTTGGATTTGATCTCTGTTGTGGTTCCTCTGGAAGAGATTGATTCATGTCGTTCATCATTACCAACTTTTAGGTTAATAAAACTTTCCTACCGTTTCTCAAAGAATTCATACTGGGAAAATGAATGGAGATTGAGGTTGATGGACAACATTTGTCATCGTCGTATAACGATGACGTCATCATCTATTTCACTATGAACTGTTGCTTCTCATGCATCTTGATGTAGCATGTCACCAAAAAAGACTGTCATAATTTATTTTGTGTAAAGTACATTTGTAATCATCATTAGAACCTCAATGCTTGAGGTCTGCTTACAATTTGTTACCCTTCAAACAATGTGCGACCCCACCCCGATGAATCTGTCAAGCCACGCCCGAAGATAGTGACGGTCTCTGCCTGTGCGGCGATCCCCCAACCCCCAAAGGCTTCGCACAGGTTCCATTTTGCGCCTTTCTCTTGTTTTCTTTCTTTTATTCTCCAATACATTTTATCTTTTCGTTATTGTTCGTGTGATGATTGGAGCTAGCATATGTCCCGACACCAAAAACGAGAAATCGTCTAGTTGCTGTCTACAAGCCCAGCTGATTGGCCTAAAATGGTCATTATATCACTTCCCTCTTCATTCGAATTCTTTATGAAATTTGAACTTATTTGTTTTTCTTTTTTTTTCCAATAGAGTTTTATTTACCAGTTTTTCTTTGAAATATGGTCACAGCCCATTTTCTTCTGGGTAAATGATTTCCGAGTATTTGTCTTCCTCATCTTCCGCATAACTCATTCAAACTTTTATTCTTAATATCCTTATTTGAGAATGGGACGAAAAAGAGCCATGAAGATCATTGCTCCCGATAGACCATTGAGAGCAGGACATGTAACTGTTTCTTTCAAATTTGGAAATTCATACTGTTCTTCAGGGTGATATCTTGGAAGTTCATTTGCGTATACCAAATGCTGTAGAGGTTCAGGGTATTGCAGCTCATTTCGAGGTAATTTCTATTCAAAACTCTTATTGGGTCATCAGAAATGTTAAGGGAAGGTGTCGCTCAGCCTTCAGTGGACAGGATTCAGTCAATACTTTATGTTGTGAACGATTAATATTCCCCATCGAACCAGTGTTGCTGCCATCCACCAATGTAACGTTCTCCTTCTTCATATTCCTTCAGCTTCCAATTGAAGCACAACAACAACATGATTGTTTCATAATGTTTGTTTTAGGGAAAAGCAAATGTATTACCGGCTGGATCATTTCGATTGCCATTACCCATACGTGTTCCATCTCATATACCAGGCACATTCACAGCAAAGCATGGAGCGATAGCTTATCGAGTTACACTGAAGGTAATTATCGTTTTTATACCAACACAGTCAATGACTATCATCATTTGTACGATAATTAATGAGGATTGCAGTTTCTCCTCTTACTGCTTATCCTTATCAATCAGTTTTCGCATTTTCTTTTTTCTAAAATGCAATTGTATAGCATTTACAAAACCTTTGTTAATCATCTGAAAAAGGAAAAATTTTGAGTGGAAGATAGCATAAGAAAGATACTAATCGCCTGACCTTGAATGACCTCATGTTACCTCAGACGTTCTTCTTCCTTCAAAATCGAAATCCTAAAATATGAACTTCTTTTTTTTTGAATTTCTCACCCACTTCCATTAAGACCATAGCGTGAAAGAGAGGTGAAGATTAGGAAGTCAGTGGTCTAATGCCCTAACTCCTGGAGACAAGTAGTTGGAACCTTGAGTTGAGAATGAAAAAAAGAAGTAAAAAGATGATTTTAATCTTCTTTTTTATTCTGACATGAAAAAAAGTGTTTTGAGAAGAATGTTCTCAGATGAAGTTTGACCTTGTATGAAGGATTGGAAGAGATGAAAAGGAGTCATTTACTTTGAAGATAATGAAGGGGCGCCATGGGCCTTCCTTCCGCTTCGGAAGCTTCATTGATTTCATAAAAAAACAAAAAAATATTATTTGGAAACTAGAAACGGTCGAGACTTTGAGTTCGATGAAGTAGAAAAAAAACTTAAATGGATAACGAAAATCGAGAAAACAAGAAAAATGTTGAAAAAGCAGGTTGTTTAATTTTTAGATGAAATTGCGACGGGTCAACTCACAGGACGATGCCGTCTTAGAAGCTGAAAAAGATGTTGATGTGATTGGAAACGTAGATGGGGATTCTTCAGTCTCACTTGAGAATAGTATAGAAAGACATTTGAAGAAGACCGTAAGATATACGATTCTGTTCGATTCTTCAATGTGTATGTTCAGTTGCTTGGATTCAATCGATTAGATGCCAAAATACAATTTGAAGTGGAGAAGAATAACTTCCTAATTGGTAAGTTCACATTAAGTTCGTTGTATTCTGAGCTTCTTCCTAAGAGAGGACGTGTGAGACTGCCTTGTGTTGACATAGAATTTCGGATGTTTGAGAGTGTGATCGTCGAATGAAACTTGTTTGAAATGATAATGAAACTTGTTCCCGTTCTTCTTAGGTATTATGGACGAGAGAAAAATGAAATTATAATAGAAAAATCAGGAAAAGACGGATGAGAGAAGAGCTATTTCAAATCGTCTTTGCCATTTATGAGATCAAACTAGAATTATCAAAGTTGAGGGTTTCCTTCACACAACTAGAGCATTAGAAATACTCTTTTGTAGGTGAACACATACTTGTCACGGGAAAAGTTCACAATCTGCATCCTTCCAACATCATCAAACATGTCTTCATAGAGCTTCGACAGAAGGTTCTCTATAGTTCAGGAGAATCAAAGAAAACTGAGTAAGATTCGTTCGCTGTGTCAAAAGTAATCAATAAATTGCAGTCAACGTCTCATAACTAAACTAATATGTGGATCAGTAGCTCCAGAAGAAGAATTTGCTTTACACCATTCCATCCAAATCCCAATGGACTGTTATCCTACCCTTGACTTACTCGATAATCCCATACAAGTAACTTTTCCAATTCTTACATGATTCATCTTCTTATCATAGGTAACTTATTCAATCATTGTTTCCTCGTCCGGCCATTTCGAATTAGAATTACCTGTTGCGATAGGTAATTACATGGGCGCGAAAAACAGGAAAAGCATAGAGGTTCGTTTGAATTTAAATCATTATGCTAATTTACACAACGTTCAAGTATCATGACGATAAATCGAATGCATACTATTGTGTTCCACCAAGTGATTGTAGTGCCAGTGTTAAGGAAGGTCCTCCACCATATTCTTCACCATCTCAGGTATTTTCATTTTCTCCTCTTCTCTTCACATACACAGACACACACAAAATAAAAACCATCTTTCACACTGTCAATATCATTGAGGCGCTATTGTGAAATAACTAGTTTAGTAAGCTGAAAAAAATTGGCAAAAAAGAAGCTTCCATCGTTCTAACAATATTCGATACAAATTCATCTTATACTTACAGGGTCGACCATTTTTCATTCCAATCCGTATGCTACACACTCCTCATCGTCCATTTATGCCACCGTTCGGGTACCGATCGCCTCAAGACTTCCCCCCTCAGTATCATTATGATACAGGTCCAGGCGTGCTCAAGATTGAAGAGATTTTTGATTAATTTTATCACGTGTAAAAAATTTTCAAAATTGTTTTGTATCCAATTAATAAATATCAGCACGACGCACAGAACGGTTGTTGGTCACTGTTGAATTTCTTTGACGAGGTTCGACAACACCAGAACAGGCGCTATTCGAACTTAAATTCAACCTTCTGTATTTTTCCGAGGAGGCATCAGAATCGAATTCTGATTAAATATTCGTTCGTTTCAGACTCGAATTAGTAAGACCTCCAAGTTTC